TCTTAATTTTTATTTATTTATTATTTATTTATTTATTATGTCTGAGTGTTTTGCCTGTATGTATGGCTGTGGGCCACTTGTGTGTCGGTTGTCCATGGAGGCCAGAAGAGAGCGTCAGATCCCCTGGAGTTGGAGGGTTGTGAGTTGTTGCTCAATCTGAGAAACGCTGGGAAACTATCGTGGGTCCAGTGAAAGAGCAGTGTGTGTTCTTGTTAACTACTAACCGTCTCTCCAGCCCCAGACCTGCCTTTTGAATAGTTCTTAAGAAACCACTGGGCCTCCCCACCTCCAGTCTCTCTGATAGTTTAGATCTCTGTCTCCAGTTTTCTGGAACCCCACGCTGAGTCTACGGACTCGAACTGAGGACATGCACAATATAGTTTCTCTCACTAAGTGTTCCAGAGTAGACAAAGATAGACACAAGCTCTCCATTGGAGTTGGTGAGAAGTGTGGGGACGGAAGTAAGGCAAACAGAATGTTGGTTGAGCAGGCAGTGTTATATACATCTAAGTTCCTCATCAATGACTCAAGATCAGCGTTACAAATTCCAAGCACTGGGAAAAATTCTGGGGCCTCAGTCTAATTCGTTTGGTTGGAAATAAAGCCTCCCCACGCCCCCAGCCAACTCCACGCCTCCCATACCTGCAGCTCTTGTTTAAGAGGAGGGAGGCCGACATTTTTCAGTGTTCATGCTTTCTGTGTCTGGATGCTCTTCACCACCAGTGGGCAAACTTTCCTACTATCATTCTGGGGGTAAGAAAGCTGGAGTTCACCGTCGAAGGCGTTCCTTCATTCCTGGGGACTGGGCTCAACCCCAAACCAGAGCCCTTTATCAGAAAGAAATCTTTAAGATGTGTAAGCCCATTTCCTTCAAGGTGTGCCTGCAGACACCTGGAGCTAGGACACATAAGTAGAGAGAACATATAGGGTTGGGTGGTGGTGGTTCACGCCTCTAATCCCAGCACTCAGGAGGCAGAGGCAGGCAGGTCTCTGAGTTCTAGGCCAGCCTGGTCTACAGAGCGAGCTCCAGGAGGGCCAGGATTACACAGAGAAACCCTGTCTAGGGGGAAAAAAAGAAAGAAAGAAAGAAAGAAAGAAAGAAAGAAAGAAAGAAAGAAAGAAAGAAAGAAAGAAAAGCGAACATACAGGGTACTACTCAATACATGTCTTTATGATGGATGAATAAAGAACATCTCTATTTAATATCTAATTTTTACAGCACTGTCTGCCCCCTGGTGGAAGTCAACCAGGAAAACACACTACTCTAGTGACTGCCTGAATAGCATTTTTTTTTTAACCATTGAAAGCAATGTATGTACATTATCAGAACCGCCAGCAACACTATGATTCCAAAAGTTGGGAGGGGTATGTTTTTTGTTTGTTTGTTTTGTCTTTGAGACAGAGTCTCTCTATGTAAATCCTGGTTGTTCTGGAACTCACTACATAGACCAGGCTGATCTCGAACTCACAGAGATCCACTTAACTCTGTCTCCCGGAGTGCTGGGATTAAAGGCGTGCACCACCATGCCTGACTGAATCAGGAGTGATTGTGCTCATTTGATAGGTGTAGAGAAATTAAGTTCCTCCACCGAGATCCCAAAGAGCAGTACTTCTAACCTAAGTAGACTCAATCCAGAGCTCACAACAAACCTGGCCCACTCCACAACACAAACAAGCTCAAATCTTGCTTGACTCTCAGGTTAGACCCTGGGATTGGGTCTAGACTACAGCACTGCTCTTGAGTGTGTGGAAGAGCCACCTGGGAACGGGACCCTGCCTCACAGTTGTTTATTCTGATGCTGATTAACACGGAAATCTAAAGAACAAGTTACACACACACACACACACACACACACACACACACACACACACAAGGCCTCAGTTTCCTTATCTGTCAAATGGAGAATATACTGGAAGGGTTGGCAATGTGGCTCAGTTTATACAGTACTTGCTTAGCATGCACAGGCCCTGGTTTGATCCCCAGCACTGAATAAACCAGATGTGGCGGCCCACACTTGCAATCCCAGCGCTTGAGAGGTGAAAGGCAGGAGGCATAAAGAGTTGGAGGCCAATGTGGGTTACATAAGACCCTGTCTCAAAAATAAATGTAGTCTAAAGTTTGGGAAGGGGCCATGATCACCTAAGGAAAGTGCAGGAGGTTTTTAAGAAAGCAAATGTTCTGTGCTCCCTGGAGGAGGAGAAGAACACTGGAGGAATTGGAAGAGCGTGGGATACTAAATGAGTATGGAAATTCTTCAATGGGTATGAGTTCTCTCTACAAATATCCCATAATACAATGAAAGCCTCCATAATTTGTTACCCTCCCCCCAAAAAATTGTGTGCTTCCAGGAAGCATTCTATCCACTCAGTAGAAGCAGCAAACCTGGTCTTCTGTGCTGGAATCCAGTAGTAAGTCTTCCCTGGGGGCATTTGAATTTAGCTATGTGTTAGGATTAGGCCTTAAGTGGCTCCCAGCTATCCTCAGATGACTGATTTGGGGGTCAGCCTGGACATCTAGAATGTTAAGGGTCTCCCACCCAGAATAGGCCCCCAAACCTTAGCACAACTGACTCCATAATGAAAATGCCACTCAGGCCATAAAATTCAGCATGGAGACAATTCCACCTGCCAAAATGAAAACAAAGACCTAATCCATTGAAGTCCATAGTTCTGGGGAAGCCTCTAAAGGCAACAACCTTACTTTTTGGCTTCTGTGGTTCTGCCTCTGGCTAACTGTTCTTGCTAACTGAGATGTGTCATCGTAGAAAATGTTTGGTTTTTGTTTTTGTTTTTTTGTTTTTGTGTGTGTTTGTGCTTAAAAGTTCACACTAAGAAAGGCTCCGTGCTACACTGGGATCCTGAACACCCAGTGTAGTCTCCAGATGCCAAATAAAAACTTCCTATTGGCTTAAAACCATATTCCAGCAGTCTTCTCTGGTGGATACCCTACAACACTACACATTGCCGTTGATTTTATTTTTAAAAGCTTATTATTATTATTATTATTATTATTATTATTATTATTTACATTTATGTTTGTGTGTGTGTGCTCACATGTGTGCTGGTGCCTGAGGCTGGAAGAGCGTACGGGATTCCATGGAGCTGGAGTTGCAGATGGTTGTGAGCCACTCAATGTGCTTGCTGGGAACTGAACCCAGGTCCTCTGAGAAAGTGGCAAGCCCTCTTAAACCCTGAGCCATCTCTCTTCACCTCCCCCACCCCCATTCTTGATTCTAATATGCAACTCAAGTTGTAAACATCACCCCAGAACTTTAAAAAGAGGGGGTAGGAAGGACAGGGAAGCAGTAGTGCCCAGTGGCAATCAAGATTCAATGTGCAAACATATTAATCATCTGGAGATTTTGTTAAAATGTGGCTTCGAATACAAGAAGTATGGGGTGAGCCTGGGAATCTGGGATCTTCCCTTCTAACAAGCTCTCAGGGGCCAAGCACGACGGCATATACCTGTTAATCCCAGCATTTGTAGGGCAAGAGGACCTGGAGTTCAAGGCTACCCTGGGCTACATTGAGCAACCCTGCCTCCAATGAACCACCACCAGGTTCCCAGGAGCCCGTCCAGGCTGCTGCCCAGACTGCCCAGCTGTATGGTAGCTTGAATGATGAGAAGTATGGCTTTTCAGGCCAGCTGGGACCTGAAAAAAATCAATTCACTTCTAAGAGGCTCTGTTTTCTTGTCTATAAAATGAGGCAAGAGGATTGAGGGCTTAGCTTGGTGATTTCAGAGCCTGGTGTGCATGCACATGTGCAATATACATACACAAATACAGACGCGAGCGATAGTAAGCACATCATAGAATTCCCGGGGGTGCTCACACATGAAGTAATGCACTAAGCGTGTTTACCCCAGTGCAGGATAGCCAACATTTGTGGGATGAATTATCAGCCAGGGATTTTCCTAAGGGTTATTATTTCACCATCCACATTGTGTAGATGAAACTGGGGCACAGAGGTGCTGCGCAGTGAGTGTGACCTATAGTTCCACACCTAGGTTGCTAATCAGAAATTTTGGGTTTCTTTCTTTCTTTTCTTTTTTTTTTTATGTTCATTGGTGTTTTGTCTGCATGCATGTCTGAGTGAGGGTTGTCAGATCCTCTGGAACTGGAGTTACAGACGGTTGTGAGCTACAATGTGGGTGCTGGGAATTGAATCGGGGGTCTTCTGGAAGAGCAGCCAATGCTCTTAACCTCGTCTGAGCCATCTCTCCAGCCTTTACCACTGTCGTCCACGGGACTGGTTGATAGGGACTGGCTCAAGCCACCGCTAGGCTGCGAAGCGGTAACTCTCAGGGGATCGGCAGATGGCAGCCCAGTGCTACGGTGCTGCCAGAACCGCTGAACACCATGCCCAGAGCTAGCGCAGCCAGCCGCACTTCCGACAGCTTCTACTCTAGGCTGTGCTCGCCTCCCGGGCTTCCCTCGTGGGAGGCCTCAGGGACTCGTCAAAGAGACTAAACAGCCCTTCAAGTTCGTGTACGAGTTCCACCAAGATAAGACCTTGTCCGCAAGGAGGGCCGCGAGAAAAGCAAGCTTTCCACAAGGGACGCTCAACTGTCACCCGGAGAGGTCAGCCCCAGGCGGGGAGCCCAGGCAAGAGGAAGGAAGAAAGTCCTGGATCCGTCTCGGATCCCCACCCTGAGCGCTTTGGGGACCCCGGGCCTCGGGGCACGCGCGCTGGCCCCGAGAAGGCTCTGACCTCGGAAGGACAGGCGGGATCGTCCAGCGGAGTCCTCTGGGAGTTGGGGGGACAAATGAATTTAGGGGCAGTGTAGGGGGTGGGGGCTAACCGGGCGGTTTCCATGGCGCCCGGGACGTGATGGAGGAATGCACCCCAAGCTATGGCGAAACAAGCGCGGTGTCCTGCGGGGCCCTGCTCAAGAAGTCCGGGGAGCCTGGGCGGGAGGGGTTGCGGGGCGTGGGGAGCCGGGCAGGCAGGGGGCGGGGCGGTCACGTGCGCCCGAGGGGGCGAGGCCCCAGCCTGCCCGGGAGCGAACCGAGCCGGCCCAGCAGCAGTTCAGCTAGCAAACTTTTTCCAGGACTGTCCACACTTCATCTGGGAGTTCCAGGCAGGAACAGCCTGGAGCGCGTGTCGAGGAGTCTGCGGCCGACTTGGGGACAAGAGTTTGCGAGGGGCGGGGCCGGGAAAGAAGGATTCCCAAGGACCAGCAAGAGGAGTTTGGGAGTGAGCGCTGCCTCTAAGTCTCGGTTTCTCCGTGCGAACAGAGGTGCGCTTCTGGACAACCCTCAGCTCTAGGGGGACAGCCAAAAGGCCACTGGTCCCTAAGACTGTAGGAGTCCGGGGCTCAGGAGCACGCTGTGGTCATGGTGAATGAAAGTCTTAACCAGGAGAAGAGCGATGACAACCCTGCACCCGAGTCCTCATTCCAGATCGACACCAGCTACTCCACCCATCCCAGCGGCTCCATCCATCCCAGCGTCTCAGGCCATCCCAGCGTCTCCATCGACCCCAGCGTCTCTGTGCATCCCAGCAGTTCAGCACCCCCTAGTACCTTTGCTCAACCCAGCGCTGTGACCCATCGCAGTAGCTCAGGTCCGCAAAGCAGTGTGATCAAGGTGAGCAAGCGCCGCTGGGCCGTGGTCCTGGTATTCAGTTGCTACTCCTTGTGCAACGCCTTCCAGTGGATCCAGTATGGCTCCATCAACAACATCTTCATGACCTTCTATGGCGTCAGCGCCTTTGCCATCGACTGGCTGTCCATGTGCTACATGCTGGTGTACATCCCTCTGCTCCTGCCCGTGGCCTGGATGCTGGAGAAATTTGGTCTTCGAACCATCGCCATCACTGGTTCAGCTCTCAACTGCCTGGGGGCCTGGGTGAAGCTAGGCAGCCTGGAGCCTCACCTCTTCCCAGTCACAGTGGTGGGTCAGGTCATTTGCTCTGTGGCACAGGTCTTCATCCTGGGCATGCCTTCACGCATTGCTTCCGTCTGGTTCGGGGCTGATGAAGTCTCAACAGCTTGCTCCGTGGCTGTGTTTGGCAATCAGGTGAGTAGAGGAGTGTGTGTGTGTGTGTGTGTGTGTGTGTGTGTGTGTGTGTGTGTGTGTGTGTGTGTGTGTGTGTATGGCTGTTCCAAAGAGAGGGCATCTCACCATGATGGGGCTGAGTATGTTAGAGGATACCTGACTTGACCCTCTATGGGAGAAGCTGCAGTTTTCTGGTTCACAGCCTTTATGACTCTGGGTGGCTTGGTGGTTGGGTGTGACTGACAGTGTAGTTGGGTGTGACTGTCAGTGACATTGTAAGATCAATGGGGGGGAGGGTTGTCACAAACAAGGGACTTTTTCTTTCATCTGTTGGTGGTGTTTCTCCACCAACCTGTATCAGTCCACCAATTTCACCGATAGAAATGCTGGTCTTTCTCTGGCAGCAGCACCTGGCTGTTTAGGTGTCTTAGGAATCTGGCAGATGTTTTTAGCTGGGCCAGCCAGCTTTCCTAGAATTCAGGACCCCTGTGTATAGAACTGTGGGCCGGGCTGTTCTTACATCCTTTATACACAGCTGAAACCAGGGCAGAGGGAACAATGCTTTGTTCTAAACTCCCTCTCTGGGGGTTAGAGCTAAGTCCAGCAGGGCAGTGTAGATATTACTGTGAGCTTCCAAAATGACTCTGATCTAAGCACCTTGTACCTTAATGTTTTTTAAAATCATTCTTTTTCCTTTTTGGGGGGCCAGCAATCCCCAATTCTTTTTTACCTTAGGTGTGGTTCTGGTCCAGAAACTTGGCCATGTTAGGAATCTGATTGCAACTCTGTATTCGAAGCAAAGCAAATGTTTATGGAGTGTTTCTTTTATGGGAGTCGTGTCCCCCCCCCCCCCCCCCCCGGTCCATAGGCTCTCACTTCCCAAGTGTGTGCTGGCCAAGCTAGACTACTGGTCACCCTTGGCTCTCAAAAGCCTATTTTGCCTTACCAGTTCATTTAGAGGATATAACTTCTGACTTACTGAGGCAGTTCAGCAGTTATGAGCATGTCCTACTCCTGCAGAGGACTAGAGTTAGATTTTTAGCACCCATAGTGGGTGGCTCACAACTACTTGTAACTCAAGCCAAGGAGGATCTGATGCATCCGCCTTCCTAAGGGCACCAGCACTTATGTGTACATACCCATAGACACAATTAATAATAATAATAATAATAATAATAAACCTTTAAAAATAGACTTTAAAAAATAAATATTGAACTGAGTGTAGTGGTGTGTGCCTATAATCCTAGCACTTGGGAGGTAGAGATGGGAGGATCAGGCGTTCCAGGTCATCCTAGGCTACATAAGTGAGTTCAAGACCACTTGTGACTCTGTCTCAAAATATATAAATAAAAGCCAGGTGGTGGTGGTGCACACCTATAATCCCAGCACTCAGGAGGCAGGTAGGTGGATCTCTGTGAGTTCAAGGCCAGCCTGGTCTACAAAGCTAGTTCCAGGACAGCCAGAGCTACACAGAGAAAGCCTATCTCGAAAACCAAACAAGCATATATGGTATTTGTCAATCCTCAATCCTTAAAATTATATGACTGTGGGCTTTAATGTCTCTGGCGTTGGAGGTAGATTTGTCCGTTATTGGGAGCTAAGGCTAGGGCATGAAGAATTCATCTTCTTAAAGGTCCTCATCCTATGAGCAGAATAGGGTTCACACACGGTGGTATAATCCAGTCCTACCATTTAGGAGGAGCTAGAAGGATTCCTCTCTGTTTATCTGGGGCCATCAAAACGGGGTTTCTAACACTTTTGTTATTATTAATCCTAAGGCACACAGTAACCCCTTGACCCACACACACCTCTGGAGGACATAATACTAGATATGTCGTTAAAATTTAAGAGGAATAGTTTATTCATTTCTCATTCTACCCTATTCCCCCAACAAGGTCAAGACATGCTAAGAATTTTACACTTAAAAATACCCTGGGGCTGGTGAAATGGTTCAGTGGGTAGGGCAGCCGCTGCCAAGCCTACCACCAAACCTGACGACCTGAGTTGGCTCTCTGGGAGCCGCATGGTGGAATGAGAGAACTGATTCCTGCAAGCTGTCCTCTGACCTCGGCATGCTTGCTGTGGCATGCACCTGTTTCTCCGACACTCCCCAATACATAGATAAATAAATAAGTGTCCTTAAGAAATTTAAAATCCTTGTGGATGGAGTGTTTGACTCAGGGAAATAGCTGTTTCTCTTGAATAGTTAGGGTTGATCCTCTGTGCTAAATTCAACATGATTAAAAAAAAAAAAAAAAACACCTGTTCAGGCTTCCTCATGAAGAGATGAGTTTGCTTGTTTCTCTGTACTACAGCCTTTTCCCAGGTAAAGCTCTACTGCATAGGAAGAAATGCTTACAGAGTACCTGTGGTTTGCATCTTTGGAAAGACTCCATAGAGATGGCTAAGCAAACATTCTGAAGACTTGATTCCTCATGGCTCACAAACTTCACTTTGGCCTTGCCCATGTAAATCACCTCAAACTCTACATCCTTTTCGACATGTGGGCGGGGATCAGAGGAGGAAGAGATTCTCCAAAGAACACTGGTATTTGTGGATAGCAGAATATTGAAATGGTAATATATATGCCATGGTAATCTATCCACATATGCAAACAGGTTGAGGCAAGGGAGAGGTTTTCAATTGCTTTTTATTTATTTTGTATGTAAAGGTGTGTGCATGTGCCATGATGCATATATAGAGGTCAGAGAACAATTTGCAAGAATTCTCTTTCCACTATGTAGGTCCTGGGGATCGAACCCAGGTCCCCAGGCTTGTTTGCAGGTCCCTTTATCCACCATTTTCCTGGCCCAAGGGGAAGTTTTAAAAGACTCAAATGAAGAAGATGGCATCAGATATTTTGAAATAACAGTCTCTGGATACAATGATCAATAACAGTGGTGTGAGTCTGAGGCTGAACAGACAGACACCGAGGAAATATTCCTGTAGAAGTGTTTTTTATGTGATGTCACACTGATGCTAGGGATGTAGTTCAGAGTGCATGCTTAGCATGTGCAAGATCCTGGGTTTAATCCCTGGCACCATAAAAGTGCAATGGTCTCTGTAAGGTTAGGATCTAACAGAAGCTCTTGTGGTCATTTCCATAAGACAAACATTTCCATTCATAACCCCTTGTTTACTTTTTTTTTTTTTCTTTTTCTTTTTTTTTTCTTTCTTTTTTTTTTTTTTTTTTTTTTTTGAGACAAGCTCTCAACAGTGGAGCACTGGCTGGCCTGGACCCGGCTATATAGACTAGTCTGGCTTTGAACTCACAGAGCTCCTCCTACCTCTGCCTCCCAAGTGCTGGGATTAAAAGCATGCCCCAGCACACTGGCATCATTTGCTTTTTGTTGCTGTTGTTTAGGTTGCCACAAATGACCCTTTTGATCCTGACAACTTTCGTGTTTCTTTCACAGGGTGGGAGTCTTGACCTCTCTATTCCTAGTGTTTCTTGGGTACTTCCCATGACAACCAGCCTCTGCTCATATAGAATTCATCTTTCAGACATTAGACAAGCCTGAAATTTCCCTGAGCACCTCAGTTTGCTAGACTGTAGGTGAGGCTACCAAACTGTTGTCTCCCTGCAAAGACTTCCTCTACCAGAGTTTAAAGCGTGTACTGAATGCCTAGGTTCAGAAATAACACAATGGGTCATAGCATAGATTTATTTTCAGTTCTATATGACTCTGTGTGCTGTGTGTGTGTGTGCTGTGTGTGTGTGTGTGTGTGTGTGTGTGTGTGTGTGTGTTTTCTAGACTTACTGACTATAGGAAAGGGTAAAGAATAGGAAAAGAAGTTAATGTCTACGAAACACCCAAAATACGCAAAGCATTTTTTCATCCATTGTTTAATTTAATCTTCTCGGCAACCCTTGTGAGGTGGGTAGAGTTGTCCCTGCAGTTACAGGTGAAGAAACAGAGAGTAATGTAAGAAGAGAGACCTTGGTTACAGTCCTGTAGCGGTAGAGTGGGAGCCGGAGATTGAACCAGCCAACACTGAATCTTCATGGGGAAAGCCAATGTTTAAAAAATCAATCAAATACCGGGGCGGTGGTAGCACACCTCGTCCTTTAGTCCCAGCACTCGGAGGCAGAGGATGGCAGATCTCTGAGTTCAAGGCCAGCCTGGTTTACAGAGCGAGTTATGGAACAGCTAGTGCTACACAGTGAGACCCTGTCTTGAAAAACCAAAAAAAGAAAGAGATGGAAGGCTTGGGCACAGAGTATTTGACTAGCTAGTATTTGACTACTAGGTTCTAGGTTTGATCCCTAGCATGCATACACAGAAAAAAAGTGGGAATCCGAGGTTCTAATTTTGTTGTGTCTCAAGGATTTTTGATTGCCTTCTAATGTGAGGGCATTTCTGCCTCTTGTGGAGGTGTGTTTTGTTTTGTTTTGTTTTGTTTCAGATAGTGTCTCACTGACTGTATAGCCTTGCCTGACCTGGATGGAATTCAATATATAGACTACTCGACTATCCTCGAACTCACAGAGACTGACTGCCTCTGCCTCCCAAGCGCTGGTATTAAAGCTCCCACGCCTCTCTTAACCTAGCCCAGGAACTGGACATAGCCAGGAAAGTGGGCTAGAGTCTGCTGGAAAGAAGCATGTGGGGTCAGATTTCCTGGGGTCAGGGAAGACAGATGAACAAAGACTGAAACTGTCAGCTCTTGTCGCCCAGTGGGCTTGGTGGTGGGCTCCGATCTGCTGCTCTCAGGCGGTGAAAGTCTGGTTGTTTGTGAGCAGCACTCAGCATGGTGTCAAGAGAAAACCGTTTGCAGTGGGGTTTTGAGTGATAGACACATTGTTACTGTGTTAAAGGTGTTAGGTTTCAAACCTGGGGAAAAAAGCTAACTGAAGTAACTATGTAACATACCTCCAGGGTCTCCCAGCATCCCCTAGTCCCTCAGGGTATGGCTGGTGTACCCCTCCCTCTCCCCTGAACTCTCCAGCCCAGGGACTAGGCTGCTCTACCCCCTGCGGCTCTTCCCTATACAATCCAGCCTTTTGCGCTACTCTGTTC